TTATATATTATTTTAAAAATATTTTAACATATAACATTATCATATATTACATTACGGCAAAAAGATTTAATATTTGTAACATTTATCCTGAAAATGTTAAATTTTGAGATAAAATTTTCAATTGACACACTTGCAAAAGATTATTCACAATGTGCAGATTAAATAACATATTAAACTTTTTATATTTATATTATATTTTAAGAAAACTTTTTTGAATATATACTCTTAATTTGAAAAATATTGTAGGCGGTCGTCAATTTAACAGTCTCTCAGATCTGGTGGCGTATTATACTCATTGCTCGGATCTCTTAAAGAGAGAAAGACTTATACATCCAACGCCACCACCGGAGCCAGTGAATGATAAGAAACGAATCGTCGCGATACTGCCATACACGAAAATGCCAGATACTGACGAACTGAGCTTTCAAAAAGGGGATATATTTTTTGTGCACAATGACATGGGAGATGGATGGTTGTGGGTCACTGCCCACAGAACTGGTGAACAGGGTTTAATATTTCGGGAATTAGTAGAGGACCTTGATGATTCCATAGATCCCAATACAGTGTTTTCCTGGTTTCATCCTAATGTCACCAAAAGCGAAGCGGTGGACATGTTGGTGAAGGCAGGACCTGGAAGTTTCCTAGTAAGAAAATAACGATTTTTCCTCATATTTATTTTATATTATTACGTATATCTTTATTTTTATTTTTTAAATCTTTATTTTTTTTTTATTTATATACACTTAATTCTTTGATTTTCTGTACTCAATGTGCTTATATTTTTATTCCACAGGTCAGACCATCGGATAACAGTCCGGGAGATTACTCACTTTTTTTCCATATAAATAACCAAATACAGAGATTCAGAATTGAGAAAAAAGGGGTACGCTATCTTATGGGAGGTAGAACGTTTGAATGTCTTGACGCTGTAATTAATAGGTACATTTTTACTATTTTAATTTTTTGCAAAAAGTAATTCTTTTGATATTCTTATTTTACTTTGTTGTACCAGATACCGAAAGGAACAAATTGTAGAGGGACATACTTTGGTTCAAGCAATGGTAACCGAACCTGATGGTAGCGTCAGAGTAAATAGAGAAGTTCAACATGCTGAGAAAATATATGCAACTTTGAGGGAGTGTCGAGAGCAATCAGGAGCAAAGAAGAACAAAGGGATTAAAATGCAGGGATATTTAGAAAAGAAATCTGAGAAAAATAAAAAATGGAAAGCATTATATTTTGTCTTATTAGTAGATGCTACCGACACACATCTCTATTTGTACGATAATCCCAAGAGGACCAAGCCAAAAGGTCTCATTGATTTAAGCTGTGCTTATTTGTACCAGGTGAGAAATACATTCTGAAATATTGAACGTCACATCATCATATGTCATATTAACACCAAAATTTAAGGTTTTTATAAAAATTTGGTAACAAAAGTAATTGTAATAACATGCATGATTTACATATGCCATGTCGGCCATGTCTTATCAGCAAATGAAGGAAATGATAGCTTAGAGTGAACGCGGGA